TGACTTTCGAAGAACCAGGGGTCATATTTGGAACCATGTGAATCCGATAAAGGCGGCCGTGCTCTGCCTGGTTGGATCTTACTCTCCAGATGCCTCCCAAAGAGGTCTCAGTCCTGCCCCAGCTTCGGCTTAGCCAAACCTAGAGCCATGTCTGCTTTTTCTACTCTTTGAGCATATATATACTCCACAGTAAGCCTGTTCCTTAACTAAAGGCAAAAAGGGCATTTAGAACACAGCAGCAGCTACGTGGCATCATTCTCACTGGGATAATTAATAATGAATGAAGCTGTAGGCTATGATTATGTAAAACTGCCAGATCAAGCAGAAACCCAGACTGTGAATGAATGCCTTCAGTGAGCCGTCTGGAGATGGGCCCTTCCAGAACAGACCAGGGCGCTCGCCTGCTTCAGATTTTAAAAATTCAAACACTTTTGGAATTATTGCTGTAATCATCTATGCACAGCTGAGTTGGGTTGGCTTCCCTTCTCCAGGTGACCTCGCCTCCCTCCAGCCAGGCCCCGCCTGCAGCTGGTGTCCCGTGGTGCAGTGTGCTCCACCCACAGATCTGGGACCTTGCTGTTCCCTTCCTGGAATTCCTTTTCCCAGGTACCCAGCTTCACCTCTTTCACATCTGGACCCCACTGACGCTTTCTCATCCAGGTCTCCCTGCGCTCCTGATCCGCCCCTGCACCTGCTCTCACACTGCCCTCCCCAGCCCTCACTTGACTGCTGTCCTTGGCTTCCGCCAGCATCCAACAGGTGCCCTATAATATATGTGGTTGATGACCTGTCTCCACTCAGTAGACTGTAAGGAAGGGGATCTTTTTTGTCATCTCACTCACAATTGGTTGAAAAAAAAAAAAGAGAAGGTAAGAATGAATGAAAGGGAGCAGTCGGATGACAATCTGTTGGCACATTTGACTCCAGTCTGTTATTGGGAAGAATGAGGGGTACCCTGAAACCCCCAAACCTGCCCACTCTAAATCGGTTGTACTATCCATCACATTAATACGAAACATACTTTTGTGTGTAAGACCTTCAGTAGGAAAGACCTTTAATACAATTAAGTGTGCAGTAGAGAAAAGAGATAGAATATAAAAGTTTCCCCATAAAACTCCCGAAGTTACTCATCCCCTTGTGGGGATACCCAGCCAAATGGGTGGCCCAAAGCAGGACCACTGAGGCTCAAGGCCTGCCACAAGTCTACGGCTTCTGGTGGGGCCCAGAGGAAAGGGGCAGAAGCGGGCAGGCAAGTCTGGAAGGAAAAGCACAAAATCAAAGTACAAGTCAGGATAGAGGCTGCATTGGCAGCCTCCCCACGGGTGTCTCACCCACGTCTCTTTCAAATGTCTCCTGCCACTTCTTCGCTTTCCTGGTACCGGTCCAAGGCTGAGAAGCAAGCGCAGCTGCTTCTTTACATGTGTCTCTGCTCCGTATGCCTCCTCCAAGTCTCCTTGCTCACCTTCCTTCCCTCCTGCTGCTCAGCTCAGCCCTTCCTTGGGTGGGCAGGGAACCTGGAACCTTCCCTTTCATGGAGGCTACACTGTTACACGTGCAGTCCAGGTGCCCCTGGTAGCCCAGGCCTTTGTCTTTCCTTTACCACTGGGTAGTTACTGCGTGAGAAGATGTAACTTCTCATGCAGGATTTGGCTCCTGGGACTAGAGATCTTTTATTGCTCAGCAAAGGAAAGCCAGCCATGTCATCCAGCCACAACTGGCTGATTCTATCTAGACACAAACCACTCTCAGCTTTTAAAAATTATCACTTTTCCTCCTCTCAATATCCATTCTGTCCTTCTGCGGCCTACCTCTTTAGCCTGTTATATTTCAAATACATTTTTGCTACAGTCTTTCAGAAAAAAATTCTCTCATTACTCGAAGTCCACTGTCCTAAAACAGTTATCTGAAACAAAGATCCTCAAGAGCTGAAAATAATCTATTTAGTTTCAACAAATTTAACTAGTCAAGGTCCGCAGGCGCTTGCAGCCCACTGGGGTAAATTGATGAGGAAGCTGACGTCTGGCCTCGCGGGTAGGGGCGACCCCTGGCTGTGTGTAACAGGGCCCGTGACACGCGTCAGGAAAGCACACTGCCACCTTGGTGCCTCAGGCCCTGGGAATGGAGACTTAGCACTAGCCATGGGGGCTCCGGGAAGCTCCAGCTGTCCTTGGGAGGCCCTGCCAGCCCTATTGCTTTTCCTTGGCAGTGCAGACCTGAAGTAAAGGCGAGGAGCCTAGCTAGCTCTCTGCCTCCTGGACTGGCCCCTTTCAGTGTTTCTTGAGGCAACTGAGGCCCAGTCTGCAAGGCTCAGGATCCCAGGCAGAGAGCTGCCCCTGCCCCCACAGCTGGTGCTCTGGGCTGGTGCCGTGTGGGCTGGTGATTTGTGGCCTTTTCCTGAGGCTTCATAGGGATGGCTGGTTTCAGGCTCTGCTTGATTAGCTTGATGAAGTGAGTTTCAAAATGTTTATTCCTTCTGTTCATTTTCATTTTTTATGGCTTATGTATTCCTGGTATTCTCTTTCTTTTCCTGTGATGTTCAGTTCAAAAATGTGGCGCTTCCCAGGGCATTTATTGGTGTGCAGCCTGGCTCATTATGTGCTCAGACATGCATGGTGTTTGACAAATCATTTGGGCTTTCCAGGCCAACTTGGAGATGTCTCGGGTTGGTTAGCCCCTATTAACAGGTGGTAAGCACATTGCTGAGGAGTGTCCTTCGCTGCACTCAATTAATTCCCATCAAAAACGGACTGATCCCTGACTACAGATCCTGTCATCAACCTGCTTGCCTTTGCGCCAACGTATTAATCCATGCAAACCACAGCCCTGTCCCCAGTCGCTCCCACCGCTAACCTCTTCCCCTCGAGTGCGGCCAGGGCCGAGGCACGATCTGGTTTCTTCAACCTGCAGGACGAGGGCTCTCAGCCCGGTCGCCCTCCACATCTGCTGCTCTTATTTTCTAAGGACCGTTGTTCAGTTGCCTCCCAAAGAGATGAAGGCGAAGCCTGGCCCCAAGTGCTCGGGCCCCAGCACGGGGTGGTGGGTCTGTGGTTTAGGAAATGGTACTGGCTGGGCTGAGCTTTTCCAGCAGGGTAAAGCAAAAGAATAAATACACAGGGTTTCTGTTCATTTTCCAGAGCCACGGTCATTTTATCCTGTGATTCATTTATTTGGGAAACGCTTGAAAAGGAATCCGCCACCTCCTGCAGCCTGGTGCCACTGAGAGCGGCTGGAGACGATGGCCGGGCCTGAGTGTGTAGACTTGGGATTATTTCTTCCTCTGCAGGGTCCGCCTGATTAATATGCACCCAGATGCCAAGGGACACCATGGCTAACACCACCTTGTCAGACTGCACGGCCTTGTGCCGAGCGGTGACAGGAGGCGTGTCAGGTCTCACTCCCGACATGCCTGCTGCACACCGGTCGGCTGCCCCAGATGCTAAGTGTCACTTCCTGTCATAGCCTGGTCCTGCCCATGTGTCCTCTGCAGGCAGAACACGCCTTTCACTTGACACAGAGCTAGACTGGCCTCCCTTTCAGCCCCGAGTCCCCGGAGCCTGCGAATGCCCATGCAGCCAGTTTACACCACTCGTCACTGAGAGGCATTGCCTGGTGCTCAGTCGCTTCTCAGGGTTGGCTGAATGAAAGTTATTTAGGTGAAAGACTTCACATGCCCGCCACTGCTGGACATGCTGCCCTGCTCCGGAACTGGGGCCTGTGGGGGCCTGGGGCCTTTGCGACCTGACCTCCCCTCTCCTCTGCTGGCCAAGCTTCCTCCACCTGCACAGGCCGGTCGGCAGCCAGCTCCCCTGCAGAACATTCCCTGCTTTCCTGGGCGCCGCTCCTGGACCTCTCTCTTCAGAGGTCCACTAGCACTTACCTCACACCACAGTTATTATTTATGTATCTACTGCGCTTTGCCTCTTAATGGCCTCCAGATGGACAAGGACACCGTTCCCTTTAGATTTTGCCCTGAGTGCTCGCTGCAGGCTGCTCCGAGCGGTGCCCAGCCAGGGCGTTCCAGAGGCCTGTCCCCAGCCCCGGGGCTCATCAGCTATGACCTCGAACTCCACACTTCATCTGTCTGATCTGATGCAGCGACCGATGCCGCCCAAGTCCACGTCCAGCTCCAAGTCTTTCTTTATACAGCGCACCCTCCCTGTTGCTCTGCCCTGACGGCTCCGGTCTTCCCTGGAGGCACTCTCACAGCTGTTTCTTTTCTCTTTGCCTTGTCTTCTTATTCAAAATTATTTTCCTCCCTGTGCCACGGGAACATGTTCCAACAGTCAACTACGGTCCTTTCTTGCAAGATGTGTGACCTTGAGAAGGTCCCCGATCTCTCCGTGGCTCTGCGCCCCCGTCTGTCCTGTGAGGACAGCCATCCGAGGCTTGCCGTAGGTGACACCATCTGATCACAGCAATCGTGATTACTTCTTTATTAAACAAATAACGAGCACACCCCTGCCACTCCAGGCCACGGTCCGTCAAGAATTAACTGGATCTACGGCTTCCCAATTATTTTGTCTTGAATTTGCCATAGTTGTCAGCAAAATGTTTAGGGAAGAACGCTGCAGTTCTGTCACACAATGTCAATTAGAGTCCTGTTACTCATTTTGCTTAAGCGCCACATTCTTATGCTTTCATAAATGTATTCTTCAGTGAAATATGGGGGTTATCCCCGAGAACACATGAGGCAGAGGATAGGTATTGTTCATAATTATTGTCTCACAGGATGCTTTCTTGCTGCCAGTCCCATTACGCCTTAACGGCAGAATACAGCGAAAGCTCGAGGCGCCAGTGTGCAACGTATTCAACTGCAGAAGATGAAAGGAACGGAAGGCTTTTAGAACTGGCTTTGGCCAGAGTTAGACAGTACTCTAAAATAGTTTTTCCAGATAAGATGCTAATTGGCTGGGAAACCCTAGTGAAAGGCATCCAAAAGACCTAAGGAATGTTTGTGGGAGACCCTTTTGTTTCAAAGCATTTTTCTAATCTGTGCTAAGTGGAGCTCTAGTATGTGAGTAGAAAAATCTTTTTAAAGACTGACCACCCAGCCATGTACTGCATCTCCCCGGAAGGTGCCGTGGTCGGTGCCCCCGACCAGAGGGGGCGTGCATGTAGCCTGCGTGTTCCCATCACAGCAGCAGGGGCTGAATTCAGGGAATCCAAGGAACACTCAGTTTTATAAGTGAGTACCAAGAAATCATGCTTTCCATTTTTAGGAAGTAAACAGCATTTCTGAAAACAAAAGAGAGGCGGGAGAGACAGGGTCCATGTCTGCCCTGGGACCTCGGTGAGCTGCTCTGTGCTCTGTCCATGCTGCAGGGCAGCCCGTGTGGCACTGCGAGGTGGAGGGGCGAGGAGCAGGGGTGCGGCCGAAAGGCTTCCTGCAGCAAATCTGAGGCTGAGGTTCTCAAGCCTGTTACCTTTTTGACCAGTGTCTGAGCCTGAAGTCCTGCTACTCACATGACAGGTATAAAGCTTTGCTATTTACAGAGGCCGTAATGCATTTTGCAGAACAAAGAAAGGGCGACAGAGGAAGATGGCTGACTATAAAAAGTAGTGATCTTTTAAAGCATGACATTTGGGCGGAGACATTTAGGTAAATAAGCTGTAATCTGGTGGGAAGCAGTCGGCCACCCAGGCAGACAAGCAGCCTTATCGACATTTATCCTTTCAAGAAGCCAGTGAGTGTCTGTCATCTTAGATTTGAGGCATTTCATTGGGCTGTGTCTACCAGTGTTTAGGCCTTTCAAACCATGATTTGCTTTACCTTCATGCAGTTTTCCTGCTTGGCGCTAGTACTTTATTACAGGTCTCATTAGTAATGACAAAAGTAACAAAAACAAAGTTTAGATTATGAGAACAGAATAGTGCTCGCCGGAGGGGAAGGCATCTGGGAGGTAGCAGAATGGGAAAAGGGAGATAAATTGTATGTGGTGGTTGGATGCGAGGGCTTTAGTGGCACTCAGAATGCCGTGTGTGCAGATGGTGAACTGTGAGGCTGAGCACCTGAGACTTATGTCAGGTTATAAAGCAGTGTTCCTTCAATAAGAACTAAAATAAGAACATATTAAAAGTCATTTTAGTGCATTAATTCTGTCTTGAATAACGTATGAGTCAAAATCAATTTCCAAGAATGAGGGATGCAATAAATCTTGTATTTTTGAAGTAAAATAGTCTATTTTTATTCCTTGGCAGACTGCTGGATTCAGTTTGTCAATTGTTACTGGAACTGTAGCACTAATATTCATTAGTGAGATTGGCTTGCTTTAGTTTTAAAATATCTTACTAGGCTTGGTTTGGGCATAATCATAATATTAGCTATTTTTCCTGGACATTTTAAGTGTGAGAATATTCCTCAAGAGTTTAAAAGGCCTCCTGTTACTGAGTTTGAGTGTAAGGGTGAGGAGTGTAATGGGTGAGTGTAAGGGCAGGAATGACACAGGGCAGGTTTTCTATGATCCAGCAGACCGGGTGAAGGAGGAGTCCTGGAGCCCTCAGTGGCTTTTGCAGGCTTTCATTTGGATTTACCAGGTACACAGCAGGCGGGGTACTGGGGGGCCTGGAGGCTGGCAGGCCTCCCAGCCCCCAGCAAGTCTTCACTCTTTCTGGGCTCTCCGGCCTACTCTCTGCTTCTCTGCTGCTCAGCTTCTCTGCTTCTGTGCTTCTCTTCTCTCAGCTTCTGCTGGCATCGCCGCGATGCTGCCTCTAAAAGCCCAGTCTCAGCCCAGGTGAATCCCACCTACGCATGCCCACACCCTACTCCAGGTGCCCGCCATCAGGCATGCATTCGGGACCGCAGGGTTCCGTCATCCATCCTAATGGTGGGAGGGCAGAAAAGCCTGATACTTTTTACCTTACCCTACACTGAGTCTTATGAACAAAGTTTTTTTGAAAAAAATTTAGTTTTTTTCTAATTATAATTCCAGCACAGCCTCCTATTCCTTTGTGTTTTATATTGAAAAAGATACTGTTGTTTTTTAATATTTTCATTGATGCAGGTTTCTTGAGTCTAAAATTTCATAGTGGGGAGTTATTTTAAATTTACTTACTAATTTCAAAACCGAATGTTTCTTGTAATCACAATTGAGATGTGTGACAGTTTGCACTTTCAGAAATTATTGACATAGGGCTTGATATAAAATAGGTACATTAACAAATATATAGTACGTATATTTTTTGTGTTTTAGAAGACATAGCTTTGAGGACCTCAAGATTGTAAGAGAATATAGTTTTGTATCAATTTTGGATCTTTCGTATCTCTATCTGATAGAATGAATCTCTCCTGACTTAAGTTGACACACCTGTCTCAGAGGTCATGTTAGGAGTGGTGAGCAGATTGTCTGTAGGCTGGAACCATGGAAGATCTCACTGGACTCCACCGTGCATGGAAGCCGCGTGGGGATTGGAGACCCAGGGTGCCTGGGAGCAGGAGACATTAGACCGGGGGCTGTGATGCAATCTCTTAGGTCATGAGTGGAAGATAGGGTAAGACTAAGAATTTAAGACATTTGAAGGCAATTGTGGAGGATTGAAAATAAAGCTCCCGTGTCGGCCCAGACAGGAGGCGTGTCCAGAAAAGCCTGTGAGACCGTCAGCCTTAACACATCTGCTCTGAAGGCTCAGGGGCCCGATGGTGAAAGTCTTCCACACATGTCTTCAAAGACTGCAAGAGGTGTTGGATTTTTCAGATGCTCAATATTCAGTAAAAGATCACAAGGCACACCAAGAAACAGGACCCGTGGTCCATTCAGGGAAACAAACGCCATCTGCAGAAACCATGTGCTTCCATCACCCCAGGCTGCATGTCCAATAGCGCCGACTGGGTGGCTTGAACAGCAGGAATTTATTTCATCACAGTTTTGGAGGCTAAGACCCAAGACCACCATGCTGTCAGAATTAGTTTCTGGTGTGGCCTCTCTCCCAGGATCCCAGGTGACTGCCTTGTCACTGCCCTCACAAAGCCTTTCCTTGGTGTGTGTGCAGAGAGAGTGATCCCTGGTGACTCTACTCTTAGGAAGACGCGAGTCCACTTGGATATCACGAATTATCAGGGACATGCAAACCAAAACCACGATGCGATTTCCCGCACCAGTGAGGGTGTTTATGGAAAACAAAGGGCAGGTATTAGCAAGGGTGAGGAGTGATGAGAACCCCTGGACACTGCTGGGAGTGCAAAGTGGTGCATCTACTTGGAAAAGAGGATGGAGCTTCCTCTAGAAAATAAAAATAATTTACTATATGTTTTGGCAAGCAAGGCCCAGGGCAGGTTCTCTCGATTCACACAGATGGGTAGAGTCCAGAACCCTCAGAGGCTTTTTCAGCCTTTAATGCCCTTTTTACACCATCGTTGTGGGGCAAGCCTGCAGACTGGCAAGGCAGGGAGGGCACTGGGGGGTGGGGACCAGGAGCCCAGCAGGTTCCCAGCCCCTGGCAAAGCTTTATTTTCTCTCTGGGCTCTTTCTGGCGTTATCTCATGGTCCCTTTCTCTCCTAGCCATGCCGTAGCAGTTCTTGGTCTCTGAGTGACACCGCCCTTATAGCCTCGGGCTCCAGGCACAGGTGTGCACACTTAGCACGCCCGCTCCACACTCCAGCTCAGGCTCCCAAGCACCCTTACCTTCAAGGCCGCAGGTAATAGCCACAGAGGCCAATGGCGTAAAAGCCTGACCATTTCACTTACTCTGCACCATGTACTTCTCGGCATTCATCCAAAATGACTGAAATCAGTATCTCAAACAGATATTTGCACTCCCATGTTCACTCCCATGTTCAACATTGTTCACTGTAACGAAAATATGGAAACAACCTAAATGCCCATCAACAAATGAGTACATAGGGGAAAAAGTGGTATATACAGACAACAGAATACTTATTCAGCATTAAAAAAGAAGGAAATCTTGCAATAGTGATAACACAAATGAACCTTGATCACATTATACCGAGTGAAATAAGCCAGAGGGATGCATTCTGCATGATTCAGTGTGGCATATAAAGCAGGGAAATGCAAGGAAGCAAACAACAGAATGAGGTGGTGAAGGGGTGGGGTTGGGGGGGCCAGGGAGTCACTAACAGTGAGTATAAAATTTCAGTTCTGCACAATGCCGAAATTCCAGAATAAATTCTGTACAACATTTGTGGATCAATATCAATACTGTATTATACACTTAAATTTTTGTAACATAGTGGAAGCTATATTTTGTGCTTACTGTTGTAAAAGAGAAATAGGAATGGAGGAGATTAGGGGAAGAAGCATGTAGGATAAAATAGTTGGAGTCTGAAATCTGAAGAGGCAGCTTAGGGTAGCAACACATGTTTGAACCTACAATTAGCAGCAAAACCATCAAGACAATTGAAGTGATGATGTAAATTGAACTTACTAGGTGAATTTCTAACTGTGTTCCCAAGTCTTGGTTAGTTTTACTGCTGGATAATTGACCTCCGATGGATTGATTCAAATAAACATATTCAGAAAGGTTCTGTGCTGTTCCTGCTGTTTCATCTGACAGGACTCCCATGAGCTTCAAAAAGAATGCAAAGGAGGAAAACAATTAATTCTTCTTTGGAAAGGGGAACAGATGTTTCTTACACTATCGGGTGATTGAGGAAACAAAGGACATCTGGTTATTAAAGCCTATAAAATATTTGCATGATTTATTTAGAGGAGAGTTGACAGTAGAGAGTTTGGAAGGGGTGGATACTTATATTTAACTTTGGTTAACATTTAAGTAGTGATGATAACCAAAAATTCACCCAGCAGGTGTTATGGGTACAATTCTGGATGGAAGTTACTGGTGGGGTGAAGGGTAGAGGTAGCGCCTCATTCTAGTGAAACATGCTACCTGTGTGTCAGGATTTTAAACATCTTAAGTCCATATGTATTAATTTTCATAACTACCCGTAAATGTGTTGTGAAGAGCCTTACCTTTAAGTAGTAAGCACACAGTGATTTTGTAAATCAAAGTACTCTTTCTACGACAACAGTGTAGGGTAAATGCAGATTGCTCAGGCTTCCATGCCACTGGCCTCTCTGGCTATTGCCTGCTGCCTGGAATGCAGGAGGCGCTTGAGAGTGTGGGCACGGGGCTCACGGGCCTGATGCTGGACATATGGAGCGTGGTGCGGGCATGCATAAGTAGGTGCACCTGAGCCGAGAGACAGTTTATAAGGGCAGCGTTGCAGAGGC